CAGGAGATGCTGGAGGCAGCAGAGAGCCCCCCGTGTGGCTGCCCGACCTGCAGGCTTGGGGCATATTAACCAGGCTAAACTCCAGCACTGCACAGGGCCACTCAACAACCAGCCTGCTCCCTGCACCTCAGCACAGCGCGGGGCAGAGACTAACAGAAATAAACAGACAAGGAAGGAGACACACAGAGCCCAGGGAGAGTCTGGAGCAGTCCCTGTAATCCAGACCCCTGCAGAGGAGAAGATAAAACGACTGGAACGTGCTGTCCCTGCACATTTCCCTGGCTCTTTTTACAGGCTTTGCAAATAATAAAAAGTCCTGATTAAATGTAACAAAGAATCTAAATCCTGGAGCAAGGGATCCCTGTGGTGACTGCCGATGGGATCAGAGTGTCTTTGGCTTGACATGCCCCAGTCCGTCCTCGGCAGGGAACTCCGACAAACAAATCCGAGGCCCCAGAAGATGTAAAATCCCTGAGGGCTGAGCAGGCAGCAAGCACCCGCCCTGCATTAATGTTAACAAGCACCTAGCACCCCGCAAACCAACCTCCCCACACCCAAGCCAAGACCGGCTGATGGACGGACGGCTCCTTGTGGCTGCACCAAGCAGGCAAAACGCGGGCTCCATCTGTGCTGAGGCAGAGCCAGGGCTGATACAGTCACTAACCCCAAACAAAGCCTTTCTGGGGACAGCTGCCCTGGGTGAAAAATCAAATGCTGCAGGAAGATCCAGAAAGCAAAGGAAGTCACTGACCCCCACCTCCAGCTCCCTGAAGAGACACCTGGGGCACAGCCTGTGTGGGTCAGTCAGTCACCCTCGGGAAAAGCAGCAGACCAAGTGCTACTGTCTCCCTGCCTGGCTGGACAGGCACAGTTACAATGTCGGGCTGAGCTGCCAACGCCAGGTCAGAGCACAGCACAGGACAATGGCATCTAAAACTGGGGAGCAAAGAAAATTCAAGGTCTAGGACCAAGGACACAAGGCTGGTCCACGCACCCCTCCAACCAACCACTCTTCCCCCAGAAGCCACACAACAAACCGACCCCAGAGATGGAGCAGAGATCCAGGGAACAGCAAGCCAGTCACACACTCTATATAGATTGTACAATCCATACACCCAATGCAAGGAATCCTACACATACATGTACCCTTGAAACATTATTCCTTATAAACCGACATAATTCAACTATAGGTCAGCACATGCACAGACATTTATGTGGTGACATTATTACATAGATACACAAAATACACTTGCATATATACACACCATGGGAACTACATAGGTGTAAAACTTACTTATGCTCACACACTCCATACAGTATGTACATGTACAAATATGTAAAGGCCAATACAGGAGAAAAGCAAGTATGGCCACAACACTCCATCCTTTGACCAGTATCTCTACACATTTCAAACACGGGCTTTCAGAATGCAGAAAGTATTATTTGAAAATTCTGTAATTATAATTTAAAGGGACAATGGCAAGGCAAATTTGACCTAAAACTTGGGTTTCTTCAGAGAAGCTTGAAAAACATTTAATACCTCCATGCAAATAAAAATAAAGAGTCAATGGACATGAAATGGTTTTTCAAACAGCAAAGATTTCCCCTGGCTCCTTTGCAACCCAAATCCTGCTGCTTTGGACTTGTGCCTAAGAAGATGAAAGTGAAATTTACTAGAAACTGATTCTAAATAAAGGTAAAACAAACTAGTCTGTTTTCATTGTCCAAGTGGAAATAAATCCCCAAATAACAAAACAACATACATGGTAAATAGTGACTCAGGGCCTGATCCTGAAAATCCTTATTCAGCTGAGTGACAACTTGCAGGATTGGGTCTGTAGATGTTTTAAATACACAGTTTTAATAGCCTCAGGTGCTGTTTGAAACAGAGGTAGGGAATTTTGTTTTTATACATTCTCTTTCACCTGAGGAAGGCCTTTTGACATAGTTTCTGTGACATTTGCTAATTTAATATAAAAGGAAGTTTTAAAATTGACCTGATTTTACCGATGACTCCACTGTTGGGTGTTTAAAATCCATGTCTCCCACTGCACAGTATCAGACACCAAAAGCAAAGGGCAAGTGCTTGATTTGTATTGCAGGGGCAAAGCTGGTATTTACTGTATATCAAACGGCGATTTTTTTTTTAAAAACTCTTGACAACCCAACAGTTCTTGCAAGGAACCCAGTCTGGATCACTCTGTTCTCAATCTCACTGAACCCAACGGAGTGGCACAGTGTGACAAACTGGGACTGTTCTTAATGTGGTCTTTGAATGCTGAGTGGGGAGTGTTGGCTGGGAAGGCAGGGGAGTGTGGCTAGGACAGTCTGCATTGGGGGATGGGAGACTGGCCTTGAGGGAAGATACCTGAGCATGTAACGTGAGAACCCAGGAAGGGGTTAGAGGCCAGGTGACACCTTTGCCCGGGGAAACTGAACAAAGACTGTGGGAGGGGTCACTGAAGGGGGAGTTTCAGGAGTTGGCTGGGAGGCAGACAGGGCTCTGACCTCCCAAGGGGGCTGTGGTGCCCTGGGACCCCAAGATGGACCTAACTGGGGGGGATCCTGTTTTGTCTGTGCCTGCAAGACCTGTCTTGGACTGTGTTCCTGTCGGCTAAATAAACCTTCTGCTTTACTGGCTGGCTGAGAGTCATGGTGAATCGCAGGAAGCCAGGGGTGCAGGGCCTTGTGTCCCGCCCCACTCCGTGACACACAGCTTATAAATCGGGGCAGAATTTGGTCTACCTTGGTCAGCTTTCTGTGGACTCCTATAGTCATCAACTCGAGACCATGTCAGCATTTCTAGGGGTTTGTCACAGAGACAGAAAAACACCGTTGGAGCTGGAACACAGCCAGCAAGGTCTCAGCCCAGAAACATGCAAGACTCTCTCGTTCCCTGCTTTTACTGTATATAACTCCAAAGTCAGCCAGTCTGGAGGAACAGATTATTGGGGGATTTTGAAAATTTATGCAAAACGACCATGATCTGTAACTCTGAGAAGGGTCTGGTGCACTTGCTCTCTAGATCAAGTAGATAGGGGAGCATCTGCAGGTTTTATGAGAGAAACCTTAGCACAACCTGATGCTGCATCTAAGCTGAGCTTCCTGGAAAATAGAGTCCACAATCTATTAAACTAGAGTCTGCAGGTTTCAAACATTCTGTAAATATCAGGCTCTCATGAGCGATTGAAACGGGTCCTGAGGAATTGAAATTTCCCCAGGAGAACAGAAATGACAGCTCAGGCTGTACCTGCGAGGCATGTTGCTGCTCTCATTCCCCAGGCCATCCAAGTACCCTCAGAGCAGGAGGGAGCCGCTCACTTCACCCCGAACAGTCTCATACTCGGTCCCGACTCTCACACTGCGCTGCCTTGTGGTTCATTGGTTTGAACTTCACACGAGCGCTTAGCCCATGCTTGCTGCTATTCACATCATTGGTTCTGTAACAGGCTTTGTTCATTTTAAAAAACACATGAAAAAGGAGGAAAAAACTAACTAACTTTAAGGGCCATTCAGAAGGACACAAGTGAACAAGAGGCAGCGTTGGGCTGCCACTCCAACCCCTTGTGGTACTGGGGTACTGCCTGGGTCTCCCAAGGTTAGGGCTCCAGGCGTAGGCATGCTAAGTTGTAGCACTCAGTGCTTTACAGCCTTGGGCCCCAAATGAACGGCAGTAGCTGGACGCAAAGGACAAGCCAAACCTTTCCCAGGTGTTTGCTGCTTACAGCACATGCTCCCAGACTGTCTTTGCAGAGATGCCTATTGGGCATTTGGGAGCCACATTTTAAAGAAGAAAAGTGCCTGTTTTAGTACAGTTATTTTTAGCTTATTAGAAAACGTGGCTCCACTGAGAGAGCGAGAATCCTGACTCTGCCGAAAGGAATCAGGGGACACCCTGGTGCATATGGGGTGGCAGTGCTATACAGCAGAAAGGGCAAATGTACCAATCTCCTGGTGGCTGCTGGCAGGGGCTGGCCCGATCCTGGTCAGGTGAATAAATAGGTCATTTAACTCTCCACGCTTAGACAGGAGCAAAGAACAAACATGACTAAAGGAGTCACAGATGGTTTCTTTTAAAGGTAACATTGGCATAGGGGTGAACTGCAGCCATTTGAGTGCCTAGATACTGCGGCGATGGGTGCTCTAGAAATCCCTAGGACTGACACAGAGACGCTTGTGACAATCTCCATTGTCATGTACATATTGTACATGCCAAGTACCTGGAGAGAGGGCACTGCCCAGCCACAGGACAGAGAACAGCTCATCTGCTTTACATTCACTTCAGCTTCCCGAAGTCACGGCCACGGCTCCGGCGCCAACTGGACACCTCAGGAGGCATCATTCCCTCACCCCACAGCCTAGGAAGGTGGCAGGGGTCACTGGGCACAGGGCTTTCCAATATCATCCCGTTCAGATCCCAATGCGCACAGAGCGACAGCCCTTGGCCAAACCCCGCCATGTAACAAAACCCACCGTGACCCAGTCAAGCCCAGGCTGGGGTGGCCATGGCCCAGTGGCTTGAGGGGGATGATGTGAAGCAGATGAGTTTGTGCCCAGTTCTTTGCCCAGTGAGCGCCCCTCTGACCCACTGCAGCTTGGGGCACCAGCCCGGCCCCACAGCCCCTCAAACAGCGCACAGGTGAGTCACCTGGAAAAGGGTCATTAAACGTGATTCAGCCCAAGATTCACTGCCACGGCCCCAGACCCCCAAACTCCCCGGGTCACCCCCCGCCCGGACCCGAGCTCTGGCCCCCGCTCTGCCCGGGGCAGCTCTGCCCGGAGACGGGGGGACCCAGCCTGCAGCGGCAGGAAAGTTTGCAGCGAGGAGCGAGCCGGGGAAGTTGGGCTTCTCGCCCCTCGGCTCGGAGGGGGCCCGGCAGGGAGCGAGCCGGCGCCCCGGACCCCGCCGCCTGCCCGGGCTGCAGCTCCGGGAGCCGGCAGGCAGCGCTCGCTCTGCTCCGGGAAGCTCCGGCAGCGCCGTCTCCGGCAGCGGCTCTTACCTCGGGCGGCGGCTCCTCCGGCGGTTCCGGCGCGGGGCTGGGGACGGGGCATGGCCCGCACCCGGCGGGGGCCCGGGACGAGCCCAGCGCAGCCCGGCTCCTGGTGCCGAGCCGGCAGAGCGGGCGGGCGGGCGGCGCGGAGCGGAGCGGAGCGGGCTGGAGTGTGACTGGGGCGCCTGGGCGGGGAGAGCCGCCTCCGCCCAGCCCAGCCCAGCCCGGCCCGGCCCCTGCCGGAGACGCGGAGAATGCAGCGCTGGTGGGGCTCCGCCGGGGGCCTGCCCCACGGACCGGCCCCAGCCTGGGGCGCAATAACGGGGGGTTATTGTGCCACACCCCCATCCGCCCTCCCCCACACGGCCCCCTCTATGCATCCCCATCCGCCCTCCCGCACACCCATCCCCAGATCCCTTCCCCACACGGCCCCCCATGCACCCCCATCCTCCCTTCCCCACACCCATCCCGGGATCCCTCCCTCACACGGCCC